CCCCCCCGCCGCCCCGGTCCGCTCCCCGCCCCGGCTTCGCAAAACACCCTCTCACGTAGCGAGGTCGAGCGCTGCTGTGTGGGCGCATCTCAGGGCAGATGGGGCCCAGAGTGCCTTACACCGGTCATTTGAAAAAAAATACCTCCCTGAGTTACTTGACGGAGTGAAGGTTTAGCTTTGGAAGGATTCGCTTGGCCTTTTCATAATACTTAGAAGCAACCGTGAACTTTCATTTTCATGCCCTTCCTCCCCCCCCCCACCCCGGCCCCGACTCCCGAGTTTTCACTACTCATAAGGAACCTGATAGTTTGGTTAGTGTTTCTATCCCCATTTCACAGATGGGGAAATCGAGATGGAGGTTGTGAGTTGCTCAAAGCCACGGAGGAAAGGCAGATTACAGTGCAGCTCAAACCACTGGTCTGCACTTGACTTTTGACTGTGGAAGGATTCTTTCCTGTGAGCTCTCCTCAGCCTGTGCAGACCCCCAGGTTTTGTAGAGAAACCTAAGGCATCAGTGCAAACAGCTCCTCAGAATCTTTAACTTGAATTTTTATCTAATACGCTCTTAAAAAAGAAAGAAAGAAAGAAAGTACAGCAGTAAATAGCAGAGGCCTCAGAGTTGCAAACTGCTGTTCCCATGACTCGGAGAAGATTTTCAAAAGTACATAATGAGAGTCTAGGAGTTCTCTTCCCATTGACTTTGAAAATCTTCCCTTCACGTATTTGAGCTAGTCCTGTTAAACTCAGCTGGACTACTTGCAGGCAAATGTTTGCAGGCTAAGGGCCTAATGTTGCTAATGATTCCACTGCTCACTTCTAGGGCTGCGTAGTCAAAAATATAAGCAAAACAAGCTTTGTAGGGAGAGGTAATCTCTCTCTCTCTCTCTCTTTCTTTCTCTCTCTCTCTCCCTCTCTCTCTCCCTCCTTTTTTTTTTTTTTTTACCAACTGACACAGTTGGAGAAAACAGCAAGCTTTTGGGCTCAGAAAGCTTAGACCATCATGGCTACGAAAACTGTACTGCTAGTCAGAAAAAATGCAATTCTGGAACTCCTTAGTGAAACAGCAAGGCAAAACAACATGTAAGTAATCACATAGCTAATATTATGTATTTATGTTATGATATTTTCCTTGATTTTGAAGTGCAGTGGTGTTCAAGAAACTAGTTTTTGTTTTTTTTAACAAGTTCTTAGTGAAAATTAGCCAGCTGAAAAACTTTAAGTTCGTAAGAATTTTTGTGCTAAAAAGGAGAAAATATAGATGATTTGCAGTATATTTACCTTTTCACTCTTACTTTATTAAAATTAGTATGAGTGAAAATTTCAAAAAGTGTGCATTTGAACTGAAAAGAACGATGGTAAATATCTTGTAAATTTTTTTTTCTGAAGGTTGTGTGCATGTGAAAACAGGACTTTGCAGTAGAAATATGAATGAAAGGAGTAAAGGAAAATATAAATTTATGATGTTGCCCGTACCACTTCTCTATATTCAGATTATGTATAGTTTTGCCCTAAAATAATTCTAGGTGTTATTTTTCATCTGAATAACCATTTAGTCTAGCCATAATATAGAAATGAGATACAGAAGATAGAATGTCACTCTGTTAAACAGGACATGGTATTTTATTGTGTGACTCACTCTGTTGTCCTTTGAAACGTAATTTCTATGGTTTCATTAAGATTTTTTACTGAAAGTGCTGTTTTTGCATCCGCTAATAGCCATTGCTTGCTCTCGGATTCAGATTCCATACCTAATGCATGCAGGCCCCCATTCTGTACAGGCTGAAATAGGTATCATTATGTATGAGCACACCAAGTAGTCCTGTTCATTGTTATGTTCTTATATTTCAGATTTAAGCTCATAGTTGTATTACACAATCATTTTTTTTTCTCAGTATTACTTGTAACTGCACAAAGTAGAACCTAATGCAACAGTCTTGATTTGCCAGATTCTTCCATTCATATCACTGGGACTTAATTTCTATAGTATACAATTACATTAATTTAAAGATCAGGATGGTTAAATATTTAACTAGCGGAACAAGTAAGAAAGTTAGGCAAATAATTGCTAAATTATAAAAATCTATGCAATACGAGGTGGGTTTTGCATTCTCTGGCTGTAGCATCTGGGTCAGGATCATCAGCTTGTTTCCTCAGTGACTAGTGAAGCCAAAAAGTCACAGCAGGAACACAGCTGAGGACAGAAGGGAGAGGAAAGGGATTCTGAGCCTCACTAAAAGTAATGTCAATTCTTTAGATTACGTTTCCATTCCAAATAACTTGGGCTCATCAGAATGGTGGAAGTCCTAACTGCTATGGTAGCAAATATGAGATTAAGTTGCACTTTCTGTAATAAACTACTTTCCTAGTTCAGTGCCCATTATAGCACTACCTGAGCACCTTCTATTAGTGCATATCTGCCATTACAGATTCTTCTCCTCAGAGTGTCATTACGCTGTCAGAGAATCTTCTGATATTGCAATAAGTGACATGACCAACATTTATCATGTTATCTATTCTTTTCTCTTGTTGCCAAAGGAAGGAACATGTGCAGTTGAGTGTTTTTAGTTTGTCTGTCCTTTTTTCCATATACATGTTACGTATTTATGTTAGTGAGGCAAGGTCAAAGACATGTGTTTTGTTCTTCGAGCAAAATGTAGTTAGGTTTCTGATGGCCCTTAGCTCCTAGGCAAATTCATGCCATAGACTTGAACCAGCCCCAGTCTGTAAGAAAGATAGAATTTTTTCCCCTTGTTGTGCAGGTTCTCTTGTGTCAGAAGAGAGAAATTGCTGACCATAGGATGCAGCCTAGAGATCTAGGCATTTCTTCAGGGACTGTGGATTTAGGGCCTGTAGCATCTTGAGACCCTGAATTTGTGATTGAAAATTATACAGCAAATCAGTATAGAGCAGAAGAGGGGAACTTACAATAACCTGCATTGCTGAGATGACATCCCCTCAGCTTCCCGTACTTGGAGTTTCCTACATGCATCAAACTTCATACTTGGGTATACTGAATTGCCTGGGTCCAGTTGAAAGGCTGCTGAAACAAAGCAAGATTCTTATCTGCCAAAATGGCCCCGAAGCTCATAGCTAATAGGGATGGTTAGAAAGCTGGAGGCTGTCTTCTGACTCAGGCACATGCTACTTTACAAATTACCCAGCTATATGTTTTTTTCAGAATTGTTTTACAACCATGCGGATTAGAATGAACTAGAATCATTAGAATGAAAACTGGCATTTTGTCATTACTATGTAACTTTTTAGTCAGATTCTTTGATTTGCCTGGGTACTTGCATGCCGTCCAGTCCCTAGGTCAGTTCAGACCAACTGGAGAGCACCAAGATATACGCAGTATGTGGCAATTATAATAATCCTTTCAATATTTCACAGTCTGCCTATCATTTTGGTATTCTGTGTCGATATGGCATGATAGGTGCATACTGCCAATAGGAATTTCATATTTTTTAGGTTGGTTTTTTCCTAATTTGAGCCCCGCCTTTCTCTTGATACTCGTCCTGCCTTCTGTACTAGATCGCCAGCCTTATTATAGATTCATCTAAGCCTCCGATCAGACATCTTCTAAAAGTTTGATACCTACTGAAGTTTAAAATTTCCGTTTAATAGATCTAGTATATGTAGTTGAATGTCCTCTTTCACTTATAAGTCTTCTACTTTCTTCTGTAGCCATTCAGGCTCTGATTTACCCTAGCAAATACAGGATTGCAATTATCATTGCAATTTCCATTTACCAGCAATGATAGAAGTTGTAATCTAGAAAGAGCCAACTGTACAGCATTTACTGTTGTAAGGTACGACTGTAATAGCAGTGAAAACAGAGTTCTGAGTTTGCCAGAATACACCTGATTTAAGGGTGCTTCTCGGCAGTAAGGACTGCAAGAAATATGTGCTGATATCTACTTTATTAAATTTCCTATGAACTTCTAGATGGAAAAAACTATAGCAAATTTTTACTGTTAACTGCCTCTTGATTTTTCAAAAGCCAACTTTCAGTTTAATTTTTTTTCAGCCTTTATAATAGCATAAAGACGAATATAATAGTCCAAAAGGTTGGATTTACTATATTTACATTCAGGTCTTACAATATTGACCCTAACATAGCTGTAGGCCTGCCTCATAATAATGAACATATCACTCTTTTCTGGGGATTTAAGGAAGATGTAATTGTTATTAAACTTAGATTTCCTAGTAAAGTTTTGCTAGAATGGCCTAACTATAACTTCTAAATATTTTAATATTTTTGTGAATTTAATGGTTGTGAAAAGTGCTGATTCTGCATCTGTGAAAACTAAAGCCCATTCTTTATTCATGGATTAATTACAGCGGAACAGTTGCCAAGTGATCTTCTCCACAGTACCCATGAACTTCAGCCTTGAACTGAAGAGGACTCATCAAATGGTGAGAAAATAGTGTAGTTGCCATGATTATTAAGTTATTGAGGGGATGTTCTGTTATTTTTTATTCCTAGTATTGATTCTGCTATTTAATAGGTATCAAAATTAGATTTTCCTATGGTAATTGCTGGGACTATAACCTCATTTCTCCCCCTCCCCCCAGTATTTCAGTTGTTAATTTCTCAAGCTTTGCTATCTTCCTAGTTGTCCTTGACTCTTCAGAAATAGTTGTTAGCGATACACTGAATTCATTAGCTAATTTCTATATTGCTTACATTAGTCTTAGTCCTATGCATGTGCTAAACTCTTCACATGAAGAGTTTCAGTGGTGGCACTGCTCAGAGGAGTAAAGCTCAGATCTGTGGAATTGTTTGAAAGAATAACACTTAAAACTTTGCAGATACGTATGCCTGCATTTAAATGAAATGCCCTTGAAATTAATGCAGGAGTGAGGGATCTGTAAATGTTTTAGCTAGCACTCTTTTTTTTTTTTTTTTTTTGCTGTTCAACTTATTTGCTTCTTTAGTTTCCCAATTTCTGGAAAATTTTGAAATCTGAGGTTGAAAACATTTATAAAATTTTAGTAATGCTCATAATACTCCTAAGAAGAATAAAACATTATCTTATTTAACCGGTTCATGACAAGGTAAATGAATCTATAGAAAAATTAATTCTTTTTCTAACTTACTATCTTAGGCAGTTCTCGAATCTTTTACTGTGCCTCCCCACTATCATTAAGCATTGATTCTTAAATGTATTTTTTAAGCATAAGTCTTAAAAACAGGGAATTTGATTTTTTTTTTTTTTTTTACAACTGAATGTAAAGATGGAATATCTGTACATATCTATGTATAAAGCATGTAGTTGTTGAGTGTTGCTATCAGCTTCCTGGTCATTTAGATAGGTAACAGCTTAAAGTAATGGTGCACAGAATGATCCATGGTTTAGGAGATGGATCACAATAACCAGAAGCTCATAGGATGCTGAGAGGTATCCCTAACTTTTTTTTTGGTTCACTTAGCAATCTGAGTGGCTCAACTTCTCTTTTCCTTTAGTAACTGTATTGTAGAGTAAGGAGTACAAGGGAAACAACCTTACTAGCAGCGTAGATTTCCACATTTCCTCCTATCTCTATGGTTGTTACCATAGAGATTGGAACACTGGAGATTAACCCTCTCCCAGCTGTTTACCAAATTGGGTTTGGAGGTACAAGTGTGTTTAAACATGCAGAAAAGATGGTGAGTCCATTATACTAATAACTTGGCCACATCCTGAGTTAAGAATTGCTTTAGCGCTGTTATCAACCACTGAACTAATTTAACCTTTGCCAGAGTTATTTACCATTGAGCGTATTAAAAATAAGATTTAAAACTTAAGCCAAAAGGAAGCACTAGATTTCAGGCAGTGCTTTGAGATATAACCCAGAGGTCACTTATTTTTAATGCAGATTCAACAGTCTGTTTCTTTTTTCTCTCTCAGCCACTTTTTCTTTAGTTTCCTTTTTTGGGGACCTGATTCTTCAATTAAGTTAACTTTCAGCACTTAATTATTTACATTCTGCTTCAGTAAACAGTTAAGCTTGTACGTAAATGACAATACTTGCATGAGTATGGCCTGTGAAAGAAGACTGAATCCACGTTATTCCCTTGCATCTTTTGCTGGAGTTTGCCTAACAGATAACCAATAGGCTGGATTCAGACTAGAGCCAAAGTGTGAGTCAGCATATAAGCAGGGTAAGGAGTTGGGGCTTGGATTTGAATGCATACTTGATAGTACAGACGTACTGAATGATTACAAGATGACTTAAATTTGTTTTTAATTTAAGCACTTTTTTAGCTGTTTTGCTGAGATGAGTTTAAATTCTGTATATGCTTAAAGTTAAGCACATGCTTAAAAGGTTTTCTTTAAGCATATTTGGAACTGATACAATTCTTTTCTTCAGTAGAGGAAGAGATAGGCCAATGTTGAACCATTCTGAAAATCCCATTCTCAGTGCTCTGCTAAGAAGATAATTTTGTTTCTTTTATTCCATCCCCTTTTCTGTTAAATCGTGTTCACTTCCCTGACTCTTCTCATGCACATTGTTTCCTGCTAACCTTTCCTCTAACGTCCAGTTTTCTATTAACTTTTCTACACTGATTATTCTTTGTCTCTTCTTTTTATGAGAGTTTTGGAGAGGTCATTACACTTTTTCAGTTTCTTTCCTCCTTTCATCAGCTCCTGGAATCCAACAGCAAATAAAACCCTCTGATTTCAACTATGCCTCTTTTGCGAGAGACACACAAGTCAAAATTTAGTGCTAGAGCGATAAAAAAGGGAAGAATAGCACTGCGGGTGTAATTTATGAGAAAGGGAAACAGGATTTACATAACATTAAAAATTATTTCCTAAGTCAGGATATCAGGATCCAGGCAGTAGGATCAGGATTTTAAGGTGATTCTTTAATAAATGTTAATCTTGCTCAAAAAAAAAACAGTCAAAGTATACTGAATAGATTCATTAAGCTTGGTGTCACCACTGTTCTTATCTTGAAATATGTATCACTGAACTTTTCTTAAGGCTCGGGAGAGAGATAGCATGGAATTGGAAGAGAAGCATGAAGGGCAGTCAACTGCAGTCTTGGTAAGATGAAAAAAAGTACATATAAAATTGTATTTCTCTTAAATTGACCTTTATTTCTCTTAAATTTACCTCTTAAAATACCTTTATGAAGTGGTACGTATTTAAGGTCCTGTGCACAGTGGCATAACAAAGCCAGCTTTACTGAAACAGCCCCTACATTCTTTTGATTAATTTATGCTATCACCACGTAAAAATCTATGTTCTCTCTTAGCTGAGTTTGTGATGTGACTCCTGAATGAAAACAATAAGTCACAAAAAATCATTAGTTATTTTCACAGTGATTATGCTACAATGTTTTCATGGCCAATTTCTGAATAAAACAAGATATACAGGATTGTGCTGTCAGCCTCCTAATAGCTTTTGAATCCACTGGTTAATTTCAGCTGCACTGAGAGACAGAGGTCACAAAGACAAGTTTCTACAGTTTGAGTGAGACCTAGCAGCTGGGGATAGGAAAGGGACTCAAATTAGTGCTGTAGGGTAGAAAAAGCTGCAGCACAGACTCAGAAATTTTCTATTCTGTTCAACCTGTTGACTTGCCAGTCAGCATGTTTCATTGGCCTGCCAGTCAGGGCACATGCGGCTCAGATCTAGCCACATTATGAGCTGCCTCTTGATCCTCTAATAGTCAGAAGTTGGGGTATTGTGCAGGAATTTAGGGAAATCTGTTTAGAAAGGAAAGGGAAACCAGCTGGGGTAGTATCTGCTTTGGATTACTGCAGAAGTGTGTTTGAGGCGCGTACAGCAGGTTGACAGGTAACTAGATTTTGTTAGTCCTACTAGTAGTCATGAATCAGCTTGGTTTTGGTGGGGTCTCCTAGTCTCTCTAATCCTTCAATTTTGTGGTTGTCTCTATACCTGAATCAGATACACCTTTTTCCTGCCCACGTCAGAGAAGGTAACTGTTGCAGGCAGCTTTAGTGTTTCATTTCTTTGACTGTTTGGATGTCAGCAGCTGAGCTATTTGTTAGGCTGTCAAGTCTGTAAAAGTGTTTTCAGCTCTCACCAGAAACTGGCTGTAGTTTGGACTGCAGCTTTAGGTCGCTGACCCATCCTACAACCTACACTTTTGGAACTGTGCGGGAAGCATGTATTGTATTCCAATTAACTTCCTTAGTGAAGAAAGATGTGGAGCTAGGCAGAGACAGAAAGCAATATTAAGGTCTGGCTGCATAAAGTTACCACATACCGTTGCATCTTGGGAAAATGCTAAATTTGTAGCTGCGTGATCATGAACTCCAGGAAAACTGACTGTTCTGAAAAGTATGATCTGTCCATTCTTCTCAGTCAGTGAGAAATGAGCAGATTACACTTGTCAGAAGCACTGGTTCATTCTCCTTGCAGGCTCAGGTAGGCAGCACTAAATTGGCAGGCGTGTTTAATGTTTTTGAATTTTCTGTGTAATCTTAGACAGGGGCTCAAGATATCACATAACACTTTTTAAACAAAGTTCAGATTCAACAGCACTGTTCTTCAGAAATAGTTTAATTTCTTAGAATAACAGAAACCTACGACTCATGCATATGAAATGTAAATTTAAAAAAGCACTTTAATAACTATTAAGACAACTGCTGTGAAATTTGTCTTAATGTGTGAAATGTGCATTTCCAATTTTTTGTTTGTCCTCCTGCCCAGTTAAAAACCATCAGCCTGGTGGGGAACAGAAAATGGATACTATTCTCAAAGTTATGTTCATTTGCCTGTCTGTTGTTTCACGAGGTTAAAGCCAGTAAGGGAACAACTGGCAATTCAAACAAACAAACAGTGTTCCATCTATATGGAACCTTTGGCCTTCTGCTAGATTCTTAAATCCTATGGTCTTAATTTTTTAGAGCAATATAGGTGTTTCTGTAATGATATATATGTTAAAGGAATGAAGAAATGTCTTCTGCATGGTTCTAAGATCTAGTGGCTGTTTTTATAATCTTTATCACCAGTACCTCTTGCATAGTGCCATCAGTTAAATATTATTTCATGAAACACGTGGCTAGTCTGTTTTCAAATGGTTTATACAACTGGTGCAATACCAATTGCAACTGGTGATACTTTCCTTGTAGAGATCAATGTATATATGTTTTTAAAAAGAACAGTAAGGTCAAAGTTAAGTTTTGTGTTAACAGCAAAGTAGTGATATATGTTAGTTTAATATTGTATTTTGTGCTTCCTGAATTTTAAATGATGTTCATTAAGAGCTTAAATTTAGCAAATAGTTAATGATAGTTGATTTTCATAAGGTTTTTGTTTAAAAAAAGCTGGACCATTTTAATCTAAAAATGACTAATGGTAAACTACTCTCTATCATGTATTGTCAAAGACCTATGATATATGTGTGCTGCTATATGTGGTAAGATCATTTCACCATCATGAAGACCTCATTAAATTCACACACCTGTGGTATCTCAGAAATGGGTGTTCTTGGACAGCTTTTACATAGTTTTAAATGCTAAACAGCTACTTGCATAGTAAACCAAAGAAACTAGGATAATTAATTTATAGGAGATGATAATTAAAAATGCATCTAAACTAATATTTGAAATACCTATCAGTAGAAGCTCCCATAATGTCCTATCACAAAATATAAAATTCCTAAGCATTTAGGAATTACATTTTTTGTAAAAAAAAGGAGCTAGAAATTCCTATAAATAATATGCAACTTAAAAATGTATGGAACTTCTTTATTATGTGCTAAATGCTGTAATAAAACAGGATATCAGAAGGTTTTGCTGCACGTTACTAATTTTATGTTTTTTATCCTAATATTTTTGCAGGTGTGTGGAGGAAAAGGTCCTGTTCTCGCTGTTGCTACTCCCACATAGGTGGACTCTGTAACTGATCGTGTGTGGGTAGGGCCCTATTGAAATTAAGGAGATTCGGCAATATTGCAGGGTTCTGTTTTTGAAAATTCAATTGCAAGATCAGGACCCTACTGTGACTGCTTACTGTGAATACTGTCAGTGTATCATTGATTGTTCTGGAACCTGCCTTGTGGGATAATGTAAGTCCTGCTTTTCCCCCAAATGTATTTCAGACATGAAATAATCCTAAAACATTTCTGATTAGAAAATCTATATCATTTACATGCATTCTTTTAATTATTTTTTCTTGGCAGTACCAAATAATATATTCCTCAAAACTTCTTAATGGCACTGAGACTTTGTGGATAGTTGGTCACATGATGAGAAAATTCAGCTGTAAGTACATTGAAATGATTGAATTTTTCAATAGTTAGTCTTTTCTGATAGTCATATACTGCTAAGGATAAAAAAGGTGAATTGAGAGGTTTGGCTTGTATGTGACTTCAGTTCTCTTTAGAAAAGATATACAACATCTCTGATAGAGATTTCATTATTCTCAAGTAATTTACCATGTGAGCCTGGAGTCCAGCAGTATGGCTGTTAGGTAGGGAATTTTAAATCGATTGTCTTCTTTGTTTTCAAAAACATTATGCCTCTCTGGCTTGCTCTTCACTTCCACCCATAACCTTTTCAAAATTTATAGGTCTATAAAAACTGTTTATGCTACCAGTATTTGTGTAGGTATTGCAAACAGATTTACTAACATAATTGTCTTCTGCTGAGTTGAATATTGAAATGTTAATAAATGTGCGCTTATACTTGTGTCAGTGTAACTTGGCTAAATTAAACTAAACTGATCTGGCATTATGAGTGAATTTGATCGTGCATGCTGATTAACTGTAATCTTCTTTGGCAGAAACTACATATTTTATTGTACCTAAGTACTTTGTACTTAATCAATAATAATTACCCATATCATATGCCAGTGGATTCACTCAAAATAACTATAAATATCCACACTTAGATTAAAGAGGAAGTTCTTTTCCTGCAGCTATGGGTACAGTCATTGCTATGATTCCTATTTTTATATCCAAATGAGCAAAAACTACATGGAGGTGTTTTCCCTGCGTGACTAAAGTGATATTATAAACTCCATGCCCTTTTTTGTGATCCCGTATTTCCTTTCTGGTATTCAGATACAAGAATGTTTTCAATGAGGTCTCAGTATCTGAAAAATGGAAGGACTAGAAATGCTGTTGAATTTGTGGATAACTATTAAGGAGGGAGTGAAGGTCTGGAACAGTTGTACGTAAGGACAGTTAGAGGTTCTTCCCCACAGAGCAGGGATGCAGAGAATAATCAGTGAGTAAAGATTAAGGAGGACAGGATTTCTTTTTTCGTTTGGCACAAGGGCAGCATGAGATGAAAGTAATCTGAAGAAAGAGTAAGACCAAAGAAGAAATCAAAAACTCAGATCAAAAGTAGACTAGAGCTTCTGATTTAAAAAGGGCAAGTGGATGGCAAAAAATCTTCCTGAAAGGAGAACTAAATGCTTAGCTACTGATATTTCTCATTGCACTGAGTGTATGATAGATTTAAGTTACACATCTCTCTTGTTCAAAACTTTCAGTAAATGTTTTTCTCTAAAATTGCATTGTATTAGTGAGAAGTATATGGGCTTTGAAGAACAGTCAGTGACTAGCTGTGAATTATCCTTATAAATTTAGGATTCAAGGAGACAGAACTAAGAGCAGAGGATAGTGGGCTATCTATGCTAAACTACAGTTAATACTAAGCAGAAGCCAGAATTTCTTGTTCAAATACATTTCAAAATCATTAAGTTCTGTATAATCTTGAGTAGGCCTCAAAACACAATTTCATTATTTTCTTTACAGAACGGGAATTTTGAAAGTTCTAATTTAAAAAGTTAACAATTCTTTTTTTGAAATTTTTCAATATAAAATGAAATGAAGATTGGAGAACATTGGATATTTCATTTTACAAATTCTTTAAAATTTCTTTACAAAAGAAATCTTGATCAGCATATTTTCTGTTTAAAATATTTAAACTTAACAGTTTACTCTTTTCACCTTTTCATCCTATTAGCCATATTTATTTTTACTTACACTAAGTCAGGTAAAAGAAAGGAAAGGAGAGGGAGATTAGGTGATTGCAAAAAAAAATCTCCCAAAGCCCTAGGTCCCTCCCGACTAAATCAAAAAAAGTGGCCCAGAATAGATCTAGTTACAGAGGAGAAAAGGGATGAAGGTAACACGGTAGTCAGTGGGATATGAGGAATCCCTTGGATCTTTCATATGTTTCCAATTGTGTTCAGTCGTCTCCACTGTGAGACAGATCACCTAGATGTGGCTGCTTCTCCTTCCTGAGACAGCACCTTCCCAGTACTGTGAGGGAGAGAATGAAGGGGTGCAGCTCTATTCTGCCTGAGGTAATGCTGCTACAACTATTATTTGGAAGAAAAGGAACTCTGGATTGTCTCCTGCTGTAACCAGCTCTCCACTGCTCACTGCTGCTAACTCCCATCATTGAGCATCTGATCTGCTTGTTTCTTTGGTTAAACCCGCGCTATGATGCCAGGTTCCTACTTTAAAGAGTTGAAACTAGAAAAACAGAGAAAAGTGGTTGATGCTGATGGAATTTAGGGAGTGAGCATTTGCTACATGGGTACCATTGTGCAGGCTTGGGAATACTTCAGAAGCTGAAGGTACCAAACTGCAGCAACAGAGAGTAAGTTTGCTTTAGTGGGAAATGGAGACGATAGCTGTGGTTCTGTACGCTAAGAACAAGAAGCAAAGGAACGTGCCTGAACATTCAGCATGTTAGTCATTGTAAGTTTAAGTTGTAAATTCTTTTTCTTTGCTGTTGTTTGCGCTTGGCTTGTATCACCGCTGTCCTGTCTTCAAGCTGGATGTAGCATGTTTTTTTTTTTTTATGTTGGATGAGGCACCCATCATATTATAACAAATGTCATGAACATTGTTTTTCTTCAATCCTTGAAAGTCAAAATGTGGTAGCATAGATAGCAATAATAAGTTAGTATTAAATGTGACATAAAAGAATTTTCTGGTTACACAGTATTTATAGGAAAAACAATGTTTTATGTGTCACTTCATATACCTCCTCCCAGTCTTTTCCACTCCTAAGCAGATGTAATGCATGAAAACTTTCTTCAGTAGTGTCCTCAGTTCTTCACTTCCAGTTACAGCTATTGGTCCTTTGTTGGTACTTTTTTTCAAATTTAGTTTGAGGTCCTCATAAACTTCACTGCATCCTCTGTAAATGACACCATCATGCTGTCGTTTGTTTTAAGTCATCAAATCTAGGCTAAAGCTGAGTTTTGGAAATCTTTTTCCAACCCTTCTAAGGATGCTCTTTCCTCTCTCAGACAATTATACTTCTCATCCAGGTTTTCTGTGGATCATATCTTTATTAGAAAATCTTTTTCTTTTGCCTTGATGAATGCAGTCTTGCCATGCTCATTATCTATTCGTAGTACTACTGTAAATATCAGTTTCCAAACTTACTCATTTGGCTGTTTCAACCCCCTCCTCCAATTTAAAACAATAAAGATAAGCTATCTGTCTTTGTTTTCAAGGCCCATCAAGACTACTTCTACCTGATCTCTCTCCTTCAGTATCAAGAGGTTGACACTGATTTTGATCAACATATGATGCCAGCTTCCATCATTCAGTCATTAAATTTTCAGACGACACTGGATACTTTCTCTTCAGCTGCCTCTCATGCATTGGTTGACTTCTTCATAAACAGAACTGCTCACTATCTTCCTTTAATATCTTCTTAATGTTTTATGTACTGTGAAGGTTAAAACAACCCACCTAGACAATAGTTATATTGCAGGTATATTAATGCCAACGCTTATCACAGTAGCACTGCGTCATTGACTTTGTACTCTGCCATAATCTCTCTCTTGTCTCCTATGTGTAGAATTCAAGCACGTTGACTTTTTGTTGTGTGTTTATTCATGGCCCAAACAAATGGGAATTGGTCCAGGGTGAGGCTTCATAAGATTTGTGGTAATGCAAATAAATAATAATACTGAATATCCATTGGATACTGTAGTGTATCTGTTGGATTCTGCTGTGCCTCCTGTCACATCATATTTAATACAGAAAGAGGGTATTACAAATAGAGGCCTCACAAAAGGCAAAGAGAGGTGAGCTGCAGCCAGCAGATAAAATGCTAACCCCAGAGGCCTTCTCAACAGTCAGTCCCAAGTCAGTAGCTACTGGCATTGTGCCCTGACAGTATCCCTCCCTTAGCTTCTCCACAGCAGTAAGAGCAGACTCTGCTTCCTCATGATAGAAGGAAGTAACATGAATATTTCAGAGTTCTCCAGTGTGTACAAAAAGAAAAAGGACTTTGTATACTTCCTTAGCATTCATCTGTTCCTTAGTGCATACCCTTCCTGACACAGCATCTCTTGGCACTGAAATCTTGAATGACCACAAGCAGTTGTTCCAGCAGTCCTGTTGGTCAGCCCTTTTTCAAATGCCATCTGGTTCTCTGTTGAGAAGGAACCTACGCTAGTTCTGATTTGGTATCTAGGTACATTTTTATCTCATAGTGCTCTGTTTTCCTGGTGCCTTGGAGATAATGATTCTTCAGAAGAGTGGTAAGCGTGAATTGCATCAGGAATTTCCCAGGTATGTTACCCTCTTTCTGGAAGTGGGTCTGTATTTATCCCTTTCCTTTTTTTGAAAGTGACACTGAAATGTCGGTGTATAGATGATACAGAGATGATAGAATGGGCTATGCAAACAAATGGCACTATATGTGCTAAAGAAAACATGGTCAAATAAGTTAAATTTCATCAGCATATACCACAGAACATAATTACGAGTGGCTCTATACCTGAATAGGAGAAGTGTAGTAAGAGCTCTGGAGTAGCTGATAGGATAGAGACAGTGACTGTGCTGAGCGAGACTAGATAGGCTATACATCCAGAAAGCTTGATCATAACTAGAGTTCTCAGTTATCTACATATAGGCTGGATAAATTTAACATTAGGCCATCATGCACAGGCTATATTTTTAGGTACCATAAAGAACTACTCTTTGAGCAAACTAGCTTGAGAATCCGCAGGACGGGAGACAGCCATAGATTTAGTCCAGAGTGGTACACAGAACTTGGTTCAAGAAGTAACTGTGGAAGAGTCTTTCAGTAGTGGTATCTCATATCATACTGAAGTTTGTCATGCTTGTAGGAGAGAAAAAAACAAAAAGCCCATTCCAGTACTGTTTAACTTTAAAAAAGGGGAATTGCGTGGATATGAAGAAATAATTTAAATTAAAGTTAAAAGGATCAGTTAACAAGGTAAACTACTTTGGGGAAACACAGAGACTTTGCTTTCTGATTCTAACCCAATAAAACAAGAATTGTCCAGCACAATTGAACAGTAGAACGTAGTAGAAACAAAAAGACATTCTTCAGAAAGTGAAGTTCAAACAAGCAAAACAAAAAAGTGCACAACTTTGGCAAGTGAAATGTAGACCTAATATATGCTAATAGGGTTGTGAGGCCAATGCATAATCAGGGGTAAAGAGAATATTTAAAGATGACAAAGCCATATCAGGAAAAAAAAAAAAAGAATTCTTTGCCCTGGCAAAGTTTATTACAGGAAGGTTAGGGACATCCCCCCACCAAAGCTGTTTTAAGGAAAATCTCAAATCTGAAATGCCAATAAAAGACATTTTAGAACAAAATGGTGGAATAAACATGAACAAATTGCAGGATAACATATTGTTCACTCAGTAGTCCTAGAGGAATTCAGAAAGGAAATTGCTGAACCAAGAACTGGGTTGTATAATCTATCACTTAAATAAGCCTTGATAACAGAGGAACAGAAAATAGCAAATGTGACACCAATCTTTAAAAGGGCTCTAGGGAAGATCTTGGGCTAATAAGTCTGACTTCCATGACAGGCAAAATGATAGTGAATGTGATAAAGGATATATTTACTAGGAGCATGGATAGGTATAATAGACACCCATCATCTTGGCTTTTGTACAGGGAAGTTTTGTCTTGGAGCTTTTGTTAGTTATTTGAAGAAGTCAACAGATACATAGGTAAGGGTGATGCAAAAGCTTTAAAAAAGGTCCCTCACCAAACACGGTTAACACAATGAAGTATTGGGTTACTGAAGAAGATCTTTTTATGGATCAATAAATGGTTACAGGGTGAGCAACAGTATAGCAATCAATGGGTAGTTTTAAGGATGCCATCTCCTAAAGATTTGTACTAGCACCTTTGCTGGTCAGCATGTTTCTAAATGGCCTGAAAAGGGGCCTAAACAGTGCAATGATAAAGCTTTGATATCAGTCAAGTCAGACCTAATGCTGACTCTGAAGAGTCACAGAAGGATCTCACAGCAGGAACTGTGGTGAGCCAGGAGCCCTGGCTGTCACAGAGGCCAGATATCACTGACCCGCTGTTCAGCAGTATCTACCTTTTTTTTTGCAGCAGCCAGTCACCCATAAGCTGTGAACTCAGCAGGCTCTGACCAGTCCTGCTGCTCAGGAGGGCAGGAACTTGTAGCTGTTCTTTGTAGCTGCAGCAGGGGCTGCAAGTTAAAGAGACGAGTTTCTTCTCCCCGTTTCTCTGGGTCTCACAGCCTCTACTGAGCCCAGACTACAGACTTTGATCCCAGAGCTCCTGCCTGTCACAGAAGCAGAATGCTACTGTTAAGCTGATGGGTGGTATGTTGCTGCTGTGAGAAGCCAGGGCTCTCCAGCCATCTTAACTGGTATTTGCATGGATTTCAGCAGCTCCTGCTAATTTCCTGAAATCATTCTGAACGCAGTTGATAGTAAAAAGTGGCGAAATGGAACGTGAAACAGAGAAGTGGTGGTGGAATGCTGGTTAATTTTGAGCATTGATGAGAACGACGTGGAGAAAAGTGACTAAGAGGTATGGATGGCATAGCTCCTGTGCAAGGACAGAAAATAGCTCAGGATTCTTCAGCTTGAAAAAATGTTGGCTGAGGAATAAGTAATGTAAGAAAGGTCTCTAAAGCTATGAGTGTGTGGAAGTGTTTAGTAGGGGGACTATAGCTCCCTGCTTCTCAGAATGGAAGAAAAAGGAGCACTTGCTCACTGTTGTGTTTAGCTTAAGTGCTCTTTAAGGTGGCAAAAGGCTGCTTATCACCAGTTTCACGTGCCAAAGTTCTGTGGCTGTATCTTTTTCAAGTGCAGAATATCCAGCTGTTTACAGGCCTTGAAAACTACACTAGTCCTCGACCAGCTGTGGCCAATATCCAACCCTCAACCTTATATTTTCTGCAGACTTATAGCTTTTCTTTAAATAAAAGTTTGTCGCTCTTGATGTTTGAAGATAAATTTTCAAACATGAATCACACATAAACTCGTCTAATTTTTCTAAATCTACAGGGTTTTTTTTAATCTTCTGCTTCTGTTTGTTCTTTTGTCGGTTAGCAGTGATGTTATGGATGGTCTGAATGGTTTTATTTCTGTTGTTTCGAAGCCTGTGGGCAATGGAGAATGCCGGCTTGCTGCTACTTTGGAAAGCTAAAAGCAGTAGCAGAACCTAAAGTTAATCCCAGGGGATATCAGATAAAGCAGCAGAAATGTTTTACAGAGCAATCAGAAGGTCTGGGGGGGAGGAATGGAGTAGTGAACATCATTATACCTTTGAAGCAGCTGAAGTGGTCTCATTTCTAAACTGTAGTCCACAAACCCCTAGTGGTCTACAAGGCTATGGTAAGCTGAACAGCTGTTTGACTAAACCATACTTAACAATGTTTTAAATAGTGTTTTCAAATAAAAGTTTGATCAGGTGTGTGTGGTGGTTTGTGAAAAATGTTGAGGGCTGATAACGATCTGTTGATCCGAAAAATTGGGAATTGCTGTTCTGGAGTGTATGTAGAGGTAAGAAGCACTCCCTATTTCTTCAGCTTTAGAAAGCTTGCATGCCTCTCCACCAGAAACAAGCAAGAGCGTTCCCAGAAAGGAGCCAGGAAGAGCAGGCTGGTAGCGTTAGGCCTTCTCTCCCTGCCTCCTGCTCCGCTCTCCCAATGTCTAGTAACAGAATTGTCAGGCTTTGTGGCATTGCCTTCAATATTGCTGGTAGTCTTTGCCACCCCTACTTTTCATATAAACTCATGACTCAGTTTTCTGAGCAGTGAGTATAATTTTTCAAGTCTTGGGTCCCTAAAAGACAAAGAATAAAACTCAACTCTACTAGCTGAAAATAGGTATCTTATCTTGTGAATGAGCAGGGGGTTTGGACTAGCTGATCTCCAGAGGTCCCTTCCAACCTCAGCCATTCTGTGAATACATATCTGATTTCACCTTGACAGAAAAACAGATCTTTTAATTTTCTATTCTGTCATTGCTAACATACTTTCTGTACAAGTATTAATGTCTTGTTATAATCTCTATTTGTTACTTTAAAAAATCCCGGGTCCATTTGACCAACCCCTCTTTAATTTATGTAAGCTCCTAGAAAGGTAATTTTATATTATAAAGAATCTTCCTTGTCCTCGCATCAGGTCCCCGGTTCCCTTTTTTTTTTCCCTACTGAAAGTTTTCTAGTATTATAAGGTATTTGTATTATCAGTGCTTTTAGCTTCCCTTGACATGGGTTACTCCTCATTGTTCTGAGTATCATGCAAGCACAACCAAAAGAAGCTTGTAGAGATCTTGCTTTTTCCAACATATTTCACACCTTTATGTTAGGAATGTTGTTGAGTATTGAGGAATGTCAGATAAGACTTTATTCAAATGGTATGAATTTGTGTTTGTGCTGAAGAAGTCAGTTGTCATGGGCTTCTAAAATTAGTTTATATAATTAGTTTACATAATTTAAACAAAATACTGGTGAAAAAATTATTGACAGCAGCATTTTAAAAGAAGTTAAAGACAATTTGGCAAGTGAGCATGCTCTGTCTAACCATTCTTGTTCCATATTTCTTATTTGTATGCTTTGATACATAAATGGAAAATGAAGGGTTTAGTAGTGTACATGCTGTTGTATTATCTTGCTAAAAAATCTCTTGCTAACTTCTGTGATTTTGAAGATCTCTTTCAGTTTTCTAAGATGTAGTAGATACGGTTGACTTGTCTTATTCACATACTCAGAGTTAAGCTACTAGCTGGATATGAGGTCAGGAGGGAACCTTTTCCTCGTATTACAGAAAGAACATATAAGAGGGAGAGAGTGTCTTCCTCTGTACCCTGGAAAGGTCATTTCCTGATGTCACATTAGAGTGACCAGAGAGAGGCATTAGCATGTGTGTAAACGAGGTGTGAGGGTACAGAAGCAGTGCTGGGTTATGTGAGTAGAACTGGGAATCAGTGTGTGTGAATAAAGAATTTGAGATGGGGGTCAGAACAGGGTTTCTGTGGGAGTCAGAGAGATCGCAGTTGGATAAATGTATTGGGGTCAGTTGAAAGTCGCTTTACCCCAGAGCGTAGCTACCGCTCTCTATCTGAATGTAGCTCACTCCATGCTTTCCCTAGCTAATCCTTCCCATGTGCCTCCTGGAACCTCAGCTTCTTGCCTGATTCCTGAACATTTCCCTTTTCTAAATAGGAACGCTGCTTTCCTGCTTACTCCGGGAACAATTTTATGCTGATGTTTAAAAGGTCCCACAATTCCCTCTCATATTTTATCCTCTGTTCTACTGTTCTTTCTTATGCTTCCTGCCTATGGGGTTCTGCACTGTGTGTGCAGACAGATAAGAGATGAGATGCTGTGGAAGCATGGGGTGCAATATAATAATGTCCCCCCCCAACATTTATTTTGCATCTTCTTCCAGGAGAAAGAGGGGACAAGTCCCATAATTTGAAATCTGCTGATCAAGAAAGAATTCTTTTATTCTTTTGCCCCTCTTCGTGTACTACTCATTTGAATGTGATGAATTAAGATAAAAGTTATTAAAAAAAATCATACTAAACAGCAGAAAAATGTTATACTTTTAGGTTCTAACTCCTTATGGTTTGTAATCTCTCATGATTTATGACCTTCCTAAAAATTTCCAGTGGATGAGTGCACGTCTTGGTAATAAGTTAAAGCCTACTGACAGGATGCTTGCTTTTTTTATTACATTTTGCAAACCCCTTCTAAGTTGTTCAAGAAGTCCAGAGGGTCTGCAGAAAGATTGAAAATCACTGTCTTAGGGGAACCTCCTAAGCATAACTCTTTTTAATACTGATCTTTTCAGAAGTCTTAAGCTTTTATTTAACTTTTTTCTTCTTAATATATGATTGTATGCTTATGTCCATGACTAAACTTAGCTAGCGAAAAAGCTTCCTTTAAAAGTTTCAAATTCATTAGGCAATTAATACATCTTTCAGCACCTGACAGCACCAATAACTAATGTGGGAAGATCACTTTAATAATAAAATAAAGTATACATTTTTTTTTTTGCTACATTTTGATGGAAAACTATTTCTTGGATGTATTTCTTGGATACATCCTTATAGTGGATGTAGAGCTTATTTGAATAAGTGAATCACTATTAGTCTCTAAAAATTGACTACTCTTGTTGCCTGTTATATGTCATTTTAACTTTAAAGACTTCAGGGGTTCATGATTACTGAGAGGTAGCAACTTGAAGTTTTGGCGTTATCCTTTGCAATGATAACTGTTACACTGAGTTGACTTTTTATTATGTCAATGAAACACCAAGTGTTGGTGCTATCTGTGAAACAACATCTGCGGTAATAGCTATTATATTACTTTAAAAAACAAGTCTTGTAAAGATGGATTTTATGATCAGAAGAGCAAGAGTCTAAAAATTTGTGTCAGGGATACAGGTAATAAAAGTTGTTTATGAATTGTTAGAGGACAAAAATATTTACATTTGTTTACAATATACTGGTCTTAACCCTAGGTACTTTTATCTCTTTCTAAATATCTCATCATAAGCTGGTTATAAAGTATGTAAAGACATGAATCATTGCATTTGTTGAAATATTCACTGCATGATTTAAAAATGGCTACTGCGGGAGAGAACTAGACATGCACTTCTCATAACAGCTAAACATAAAAATACTTCATCAGAGTTGATAATACAGTTCCATAGACTAGTGAAAATCATTGCATGTTTTGCTGTGTGAGCAGAACTCTCTACAGAATGGTGATCTCATTCTATCTTCTGATATTACAGGTATCTAAAAAGATTTTCATTGCTAAACCAGATTCTGATCATTTTAAAACTTTGTAATACACACTTGTTCAGAAAAGAGGGAATATTAACACTTCAAATTTAATTCATCACTCTTTGACTTACATGTATAGAAAAATGCATATCCTGAAATACCTCCGTTTCATAACACACTGTAGAGTGCAAAATCCCAAGCATGCTTACATCTGCCCTGCTATTTGCTTCACTATTCTGATAGAAGGATGTGATCTGCTAAATCCTGGAGCTAGATCATGCTTTTATATACATGGCTTCAAGTCAGCAGCA